TTTTTTGAATAAAAAGAGAAAAAATAACTGCGTCGCCGTTCATCTGATTGCACGTATAACCGTCCATTTCACGATATCTCACTTTGAATCTGTCAAGGGCATCAATGTCTTGAATATCCATGATCAAAACTAGATAAAACTTAGACTGACTTTCGTAGCCAGGTTAGTTTAAATGGCGCCCTCTAGTGTGATCCGAGGCTGAGCTTTCACCTCTACTATAAACTATGAGACCTAACGAGAACAGATGCCTGCGGCTGCTTATGGGAATTTCCGCAGATTAGGTAGGGTGGTCCGAAGCCGAGGTAAAGGCACACTTTCTGCTTCCCTGAAACGAATTTGAACTTTTACGTATTCATTAAGTGAGAACTACAGCCTGTTATTTGCTTCTTCGAACTCCTGGCACGATTAGGTTCACCCTTCCAATTTCCTCTAGGCGGCTAAATCCCAAATGGCTGGGTTTTTTGAACGGTCACTGAGAGTACGCTTTCAAATGGCTGTAGACTTTCAGTTAAGGGATTAGTGTCACAATATGAACTCTAAGATGGACCTCTTCAAGTCTTCAAAAAATTTCCACACTTTTTGTGGAAATTTCAAGTTATGAGACCTTTGGTAGAAGCATTCGGCAGCACTCAGAAAGTCTACCTGAGGTCTAAAGATAGGCTGGCCGTTGAAGTCTCTCCAGGATAATTATTTATGATCTATAATATTGTTGCTACCCTGTAATTGCAACAACCGTGGAAACAAGGCCATGGAAAGTGCATGCCTTAAGGGCCCTGCACTATTCTGGAGTTGACGGCGTTAAAGTACCTGCTGTCGTTGCATACGTCTACAGGTGCTAACTGGCTAGCAAATATTAACTGGCAGAACATGTTCAGACTTAAATTAGTATGATTTGGGAAAAATACAAAAGTTCAAGTAACGTGTGTTCTGGTCAGTGAAGGTATGATGAAAAAAGTTACTCGTCCACTGCTGTCATTCGCTCCCAGGGGAAGGTGTCTTCTGCCTCAGTGGCTAAAGCCTACTCTAATTAGACCAAAAACTTGGTAAGGGAGACTCTCAAGTCTTGTCTTATTTTGTAAATCTCGACCGCCCGCAGTTCTGAAACAAAAACAAACCTAATGTCTACGGACAGGGTATTGCCTACGAGAGCAACCGAGTAACTGGGATTGAGAAATTAAACTTTACGGGGTATTTCTATTCCCATGGACAAGAGGACATGCTTGCGTTCCTACAACTCGTCAGTCTGAACTGATCTGACAAAAATGCTTGGATAATTTTATGTCTTCTTTGATCTAAGCCGCCGAAGGCCCTCCTAGGCAGTTTAGCTTACTAATAGAAACCTAGAACATTATTTATATCAAAGATAACATGATCCTTTCGTATAAATGAAGAATATCAATCTGAATAGTGTCAGACTGGAACGCCTTTCGACGTTCACAAAAACTCTTCCGTAGCTTTTGCTTTATTTGCTGTCTGAAATAACGTTACGATCGAGCCAATGGTATAGCGGGCGGGCTGCCCTTAAAACTTGCTCATGACTCATCGGCACTATAATAATGAACAAGGCTTTGTACGAATCATAGGCCCATAACCAAACAACCTTAGCTTGTTTAAAATCCTGGAGTCACCCAGGGTTACCTGAAAAAAAAACAATTTTTTCTTGTCTCTTTTATAACCCTGTCCCTCCTTATTTCATAGAAGAAACTAAATGTTTTATGAGCATATGTAGCTTATGAGAACGGGAATTAATCATTCCTAATGATTAATATTTACCCAACAGGTATATAACTATTTTTGATTAAAAGGTATCTGTCCAAAGAAAACAGTTTTCAAAAGCCTCTACGCAGGAAGAAATTACCCTAAAATTTGCAACGTATGAGGGGATTTGTATTTTTGTGGGTTTCCGTCGAACTTTAGTTTCTGGAACGGACTGTTTAGTTCGAAGTAAACGACTTGTATTTCGATTAAAAATTGCCTTATCTCAAACATGATGAATGTTGAAGAGGCAGGAGATTTTTATTCACAAATTAACATAAAACATCTCATAAGAAATCTGAAAAACTGCAGAAACGCACTAAATTTTAATTGGAAAGGGAGCAAAATCGCGATAAATGTCCGACAATTTGGCAGGCGCAATTCCTCAGTAAGGTTTATAGACGACGATAGACACCGAGGCTGTTTCCGCAAGTAGGACAAATGTGATTAACATCGAGGCAGGAGTCTATACACCAGGGGATAAGGAAGCAGAAGAGGCATCCCCTGAAATTCGACGAAGTAGGTAACTGTTAAATTCTGGCATTCCGCAGATGAAGCGGTTTGCACATCGAAAAGTCAGAGAGCTTTTACGCTGCAGAACTACATAGGAAGTTTGCTTAAGCTTTCAGTATTGTACTCTGCAGTACGTGTAGCTGACTCTCAAGCAAACGCCATATGCATTGGCATACTCTTGTTTGTGCGAAGGAGCATCTCATTTTGATGCAGATATCGCCCTAATTGCACAACTCTTCTTGTCAGGGTGGAATTGAAAATGAACTATGCGTTTTTTCTGTCTCTTCCGAAAGTCAGTCCTCACTAGAGGCCTATCGGTGATTTATAAGTATGAATTCTTCGCCTGAGTAAGTCTGGGGTAATAGACTTGGCAAGCGTATGGTTTATGACCGAGGCCATTTACTCCGGGTAGCCATTGTGGTGAGGGAAAATAACCGGCAATATTCATTTGTAAGTGCCAAAGAAAGAAATAAAAAGACCTTGCCGTGGCTGTTGCCTCAAAATGTTCAAGATACTTTTAAGTAGTCATCGGAGTAAAAATACGGCGATTCAATGCCTTTTTGACAATGCCCGAAAACAGGCATTAAATTCGCTTACTGGTATCATTAAATGGCAAAATCTGGGTCCCCTTCATATTAGTGGCAATATGGAGGATCAGACTTTGTGATACCACAAACTTCATAGATGTTCAGCTCTTTCGCTCAATACAAATGCACTCCCGAATAAGTAACCTCGGCCATAAACCAGACCCTTGACTAGATATTTTGTGACAATGTTAAAATAAAAAGTGACAGCATAACAATGGGTGTTGGACGTTTTAAAAACCCTCTCCAAACGAAGAAACTGGAATGAAAGGAAGGTACGATCAGCATTCATACAGCGCGGATATAGAGTAGGGAAGAGAGGTGTGGCTAGGGTAGATTATCTCAATAAGTGCAGTGTTCGATGGCGCATGCGTGAGAAATGTGTATATAATGATGCTGTCGCGATCTCCTAATTGGACGGTTTGGGTGACCAATAAGATGTTCTCTTAGCCTTCTCTAATGTGCACAGAAGTCGACGGGACGACTAATATCAACCCAAATAGCGGGCCTGGTTTCTACAGCAGGACCCTTTTAAGTACTAGTTTTTTGGTACCGGAATCGCCTTGGGCATAACAGGACTTGAACAAAAGGTTTTTATGCGCGACGTCAACGCGACCTTCGCCGTCGTCAAGTGGAACGAGGATGACCACGTCCATCAAACAATGAATAATACTTTCTCATTAATACAATTCAAACATAGCAGCCCCTGACTGGTCTCATTCTACATTGATGTGTGAGCTCGCAAGGACTGCAAAAAAGGCCTCACAGCGGAAATGAACAAAAATACATCAGTTCTGAAATCTCGGGATATAGAATTAGACGTCCTATGGCTTATAGAAACGATCGTGCCACTGCCCTCTTCCACAGCAACTTTGGGCTGCTAAACATTCAAGACTCTCTATATCTAAGGCTGGGCTATCTAGGTAATGTGTTCAAATCTAGTAGGTGCGTAAAAGTTGTCTCGCAGGGGACAGTCAGAGACCAAAACAAAGCGTAGAGGGCACAGGAGAGACCAAGAAAGCATTTGAATTGCTCTACATGAAAGTAACCTTCAAAACAATATCAAACAAAATAGGGGGCATTGATATCTCTCGCTGTTGTCACCTCGGGCAGCCATGTCACGATACAAGTAGCCGATCGAGGTGGCAGCATCGCATATCTTGTCCCATATGACAGTTGTTCTTGCATGTATCTCGACCATAGAAATCAACGTCCTGGGTCCCGCCTCTGATCGCTTAGTTGAAATCTCTCCGGTTTGCCCATGAATACGTGAGCTAAGAGAGGTCAAAAAGGCGAGACCGTAGCGACGTCGTCTACTCGTCTATAGAGTTGGTGGCCAAAAAGGAACTGCACATTTAGTGTGCCCTTTAGTAACAGCTCCTTGAGTGTGTTCGTCGGTATTCCTATTTCTTGCTGACTGACAGGTAGAAAATCACAGATGTAATCAACTGTCTCGGTGACCGAGACGTTTGTAAAAAGTGCTGTGACGTCCAGTGAGAACATCGTCATGCCGTTAACGTTGAGGTCCTTAATGTCGTCAATGAATTGAAGGATATCTCGGTAGTTGCGTGGTGCGTGCATGGGCTTGCGTTTCCCTGCTAACCACCTAGCTATCGCATGATACGGAGAGTTCCGCATGTCTGAAATTGAACGAACCCTTAGGCCTTCCTTATGGATCTTAGGTAGACCATATAATCGGGGAATATGTGTCCCGACTGGCCGGAGGTGTTCGAAGTCATGGTCACTTATGTGACCTCCTGTGTGGAGCCTTCTTAAACAGTCAGTCAATTTCGCCTCTGCGTCATCCGTGCAATCCTTCTCTTTATCTGTCTTTCTGAATTTCTTCTGGTCAGATAGTATGGACTCTATCTTCGCTACGTAGTCCGATCTGTTCATTATGACGACGCCTGTTCCCTTGTCAGGTCTAGTTACCAAGATCTCTTTGTTCCCTCGAAGTTCTTTTAATTTTTCCACGTGTGCTTTTGTCAGTAATCCTCGACTTTTTGGTCCTTTGTTTAGGTATTGGTAGCTGCAATTCACTAGTGTGGATTTGAAGTGTTGGATACTGTCTGTGGAAACGGGCAATAGATCGAATGTTTGGTTCCAGAGGTTCTCGAACTGCGTTTCCAATTCTAACTGATTTACTTTTTGACGAGGTGTGCAAAATTTCGGACCAAGGGATAATGCTTCAAGTGATGTTTTATCAAGTGTCATATAAGAGTAGTTGTGTACGTACCGAGCTGGGTCTTTCGGAAACCGTGACTGGGCTTTCATCTCATGTAAACTCCTAAGAAGAGCAGAGCGTTTTGCCTCTCCACGTTTCTTTTCAATGGACTGAGTGTACATGTCGAATTCTTGTCTTTCCTCATCTGCCAGGATATCTAGGACGGCTGTGCGTTGACGCACATGACGCTCAAGTTCCTCTAATTTTACGAGGGTACTCTCCAGTTGATTCTCGGCATATCTTTTCAGGGTTTCTGTGGTAATGACTGTGCGACTACGACGCAGCGCTCTCCACTAATGGTCTGGATACTCATTTCTCTCAATACAGTCCCCGATAAACTTGGCCATCACTTTCGCCTCCGCAAGCTTGGTGTTAAAACGTAGGTACCCATTGAGTGCCTTCAACACCGTGGGGTCTTTGGACTGTTTTAAATGTGTGAAAATCCCCATCACTATATTCAGAAGAGAGAGTGGCGAGTGAACGTTCCTTTCGGTAAATTCTCATCAGGCCAATACAATTACATAGGGTGGGGTACAGTCTAAGAATGACGCGAAAACTGTTTGGTCCTCCACATGCAATGACCTCGAAAATGTGGCGCTTACCGTGGTCAAAGGTTGACTAACCACATACAACTTTCTGCACCCTTCCGCTCTTTCCTAGCCTGTATTTTGAAACTAACTTTTCTCGATTTTTTCACTCACTGTACCCCGTCCCGTTTAACTGTACTGGCCTGAGGAGAAGTTATCGAAAGCAACGCTCGCTCGCCATTTTGTCTTCTGAATATAGTTATGGGGATTTCCTACATCGCTTAACATTAACGTCTTGCGTAGCCGCTTTGGTATTATCTGCCTGGTTGGTATTTCGTCGCCTGTTCTGTGCGAGTCCACCGCAAGTCTCAGAGGCATGCTAACTATGCTGTTGCGTTTAGACAAAAAGTACACATTACACAAACGCCTGAAAATGCACACAAGGAGGGTGTACCTATCGGAGCAAAGTTCAATGCCCTGAAATAAGGATGGTTTTGATGGAACGACGCAAAAAGAGGCATACAGTTGGAGAACAATCAATAATTAGCCGGTTTTGCCGCTTTCATGCCCGTATCCACGTGAGATATATGAAATCAGGCAAACGACGACGGACTTTAGACACTGTAAAGGCTTCTGTAGCAATTTCAGATCACATAACTCTCTGAAGATTCAGCCTTGCTGGCGTCCACATTTTGGACGGCAGTTTGTTTATTGATCGCAAAACTGCTATGTATATCTTTATGGGTTGACTGCTAGGTTTGTTAATTGAGAAGTAGGGATTACTGAACGCCACCTGTGACAAACATATAAGCGCATACCGCTTACGGAAAAACTGATATAAGTTTGCGTCCACGCCCGAATTTCTTAGCTAACAAATAGTGCTTTATAAGCCAAACTATGCACCCTTTCGGAGATCAGCCGTTCTTTTAACGTGGCCCAACTTTGAGGGGTCGAAGAGTGGGCGGTCCATGCGCCACAATGGTCTTAGCGCCAAGCTAATAACAGTTCTCCAATTTATTTTACTTGGACGCAGCTTCACTGGCATTGAATCTTGAAACCAATTGTAATTTGAAGTACGCTTTGGGAAAAACTATGGGCTGGGCCGAATTTTCAAACGTCTGTCGTGACCATTTGATAGGTGGAACGTTTACTTGCGTTATGCTGATAACCTAGAGGGCAATTTCTGCCTATTCTCTATTCCAAGCCTTTATGATGTGTTCGGACCTCCAGTTTCGCAACCAGAGACTCAGTCTTGGAGCTGCTCCCTTACAAGTGAACCCGGCAGTGATGTGAGCAAGATATAAGTTCATATGCGATTTAAATATAAAAATCTCAAGTGTATACGGGAGGAAAATGAAAATGCGATGTCATTTCAGTAGTATACTTCAGATCGACTTAGTAAGGCGATCTTCGTTGTTTCTAGCTCTCCTCTGTGTAGGCATAGCGCTCAGACATCATGTCTGCTCCTTTTGACCCTAAGATTAGTTTGAAAGGTCTCGATAATATCGCATCTCTAGACCTCAGTAGCACTTTGATGAAAACAAATATACTTTTCATCTCATGCTTCCCTTGACAATAGTGTGACAAATCAATAATGGGTTAGCAAGCTTCCCCCGTCTGATGTAGTCTCTGATGATAGATTCAAATGTGCATTCAAAACATCAAGCGGATAAAACACTTGTCGCAGTTTACATGTCTCCTTCTTCCAAAACGTTTCTCAGAAAAAATTATGTGTTGGGAAACTACACAACGAAATTCCCAGAATTATGTGACCTGATATTGGAGGTATTGATCTTTGTGTCCCTATGGATTTCCGCTCAGACGGCTGTTTATTTTTGTTTTGTTGATAGCGCAGCTATGACCAGGTGTTCATAAAAGCATTAAAGTTTAAACTGCTACGTGTCAATTTACGTTACTGTTTTTACTGAAAACCCCCAGAGAGTCAGGTATTTGTGCCCCCATTCTGGATGAAGTCACAAGGCGTTTGATCTTACCTTGCGGGAAATGGAATAACATACTTTTCTTGATTGTTTCTGCTAAAACCCTCCGTATTGTCGCTTACAGAGACTTTCAAATATGGTATCTTAAAAGGATGTGAGGAATGATGCTCTTCCCCTCCAAAGTGCTCGTTTAACTGGTGATTCTAAATGCAATAATATAAAAATCCATGCAGTTGGGGTCAGTTTGAAGTGTGTTTAAAATTTGAAGTACAGTTTCTTAGTGATATTATGGATACTTATGCAGCTTTTGAAAATATGTGGGCTGAAACTGCTGGCAACGACGACATTGGTGGAGCCTACGACTATGCTGACGATGGTGATGAAGTGGTAATGGGGGGCTACTCTGCTGGTAAGAATGACAAGGATAATCATAAATTCGTCTATATAAAAGTCTCCGATGTAGATAAAAACTGCAGAAGCCATATTCAGAAAATTGTTGTTCCGCTTACCCAAACATAGCTATTAATACGCAAGATAGAATTGTCCGCCTTCCAGTCTCATGCTGCAGTTGGGTGTAGACATCACATCGGCACTTTTCGCAGTATGCAAAACACGACTCAGAGCCGAGAGCGGATGAATCGTGTTCCGGAGCTAGATAAACAACAGCATACAGATAAGAAAAACTCAAACAATGAGACGCTCCGTGCAGTTACCTACGAGTTAGAAACAGTGCATGAATCCGTCATCAAATGCGGTAGTGTATACGAATCTTGGTTTAGATGAGTGAAATTTTATTTGAATATTCTGTACGGACGCTCCATGCAATTATTGTTGAACCAGTTGTTTGAAATAGTGAGGCCCAAATAAACATGAAATACAGAACAACTTTTCTCGATATGCAACCACAAGCATTTGAAATCTACAGAGAGCACAAAACATGCAGAGGATGTGCTAGAACGACAGACCTCCATAAATTGGATTTTGTGCAGGAAAACATTCGCGCACTTAGTGAACTGAGACTTCTGCTAACTTGTGTCAAAGTCCTAACAGTAGGAACGTGACTTGTTCAAACCATACTAGATTTATGGCATCAGTAAGTGCTTAATAAATGAATGGTCAAGTATATAGCATCGCACGACGTGCTGTAAAGTTTCGATGACTTGTAGAACCCAGTAGATTTGCATTAATAGAAACTCATGTCGGGAGACACATTAATTTCTTAAGCCTTAATACTAATTTCCCTTTAAATCAGCTTGCTTAATCTCTCCACTTTTTCACGTCGAATTTTCGCCTTAAAGCAAAACAAATTGAATTTGGTAGGGGGCGCTCACCGATCGTTCATACGGAACTCATTCGTTCCGTTGTGCCTTAAGGGCTCATTCTCGAGCCCAAGCAGCAGCCGCACAGCGGCGCATGATATATAGGCAGAATGCTATTGCCGACAAAGGCAAGGGAGACTGAAATTGCCATTTCTGGCTTATTAGTCGTCGTCAGCCAGCCATACCCAAACCCGAAGTGTGGAACACCCGAATCTCGAACTCGCGACCTGTTGGTTTAGAAGTCCACGCCTCTACCCACCGGGCCACGAGCCCGTTGCCCTGTTGTATATACCCGATCGAAAACCGATAGGGCAACGGGCTCGTGGCCCGGTGGGTAGAGGCGTGGACTTCTAAACCAACAGGTCGCGAGTTCGAGGCTCGGGTGTTCCACACTTCGGGCTTGGGTATGGCTGGCTGACGACGGCTAATAAGCCAGAAATGGCAATTCCAGTCTCCCTTGTCTTTGTCGGTAATAGCATTCTGCCTAAATTGAATTTGCTTTGTCGACCTGCATAATTTCAAATTCAATCTTAGCGTTGAATATACGGAGTATTTGTCGGTTTTTTAATTCATTGCCCGACTATAATTTCCCAGTACCAAGACAGGGGCACTTCTTAACTCGCGGAGGTCCGAATTCGACTATAAATCCATTTTTGAATATGAGCTAGTATGTGAGCGTCAAAAATCCGTGACGATTTTTTCGAGTCTGCTTAGAACCATTGTTTGCGGGAAATTAAATGTTTACCTGAAATTGTAGGTTTTGGTCAACGAGGCAGAGTAGCGAGCGATTTCAGTTAGCGGTAACAACGTCTGACTTAACTTTAGTTACTCCGGCGATAACCAAGATGCAGTCTTCTCGGTGTGTGTGACTACATTTACCAAGATTGCAAAATCGTCTGAGTACAAATCCTCATGCTTAACATGAAGTAAAAACTTGGGGAAACCACATGGGCAGTCAGTAACACCTTCAAATCGATTTGAAATCGCAAATAAACGAAACGGCAAAATAAAGAAAAATGAATTATTTTGACTTGGAAGGGCAACGACTACCAATCATCTATATCTGGGATGATAATATTTTAGTCGCCTAACGCTAGCCCGTTCGCTCGGTCGCGGGGTAGTCTTGCGATTGGCCGACACTTGGTGACAATTTCTACGCGCCGGAATTCTTTCGCGCGACTGACATCACACATGTCCCGTCAACCTGTTAGATTACTGGCCCTGCACTAGCCCTCAAACTAAAAGGAGCTAACAACTGTCTAGCCTTAGGCGTCTAAATGCTATCAAGACTGATTCGCGGCCGTATCCATAAATCACCATTACGCACAATTGACACCAAAGACAGACGTTAAATTGATTTATTTTGCTTCCATGGAAAGTATCAATCGGCGAAGTAATAAAATCATCATTATTGTGTGCCCACGGACGATTAAAGTTACTTTAGATATATTAATTTAAATGTTTCCAAACTAACCGCTTTTTGATACTGCTGGATCCATCTTTGTAATACCAACAGGCTGTTCTGATGAGGCTGAACAAAAACAATAAAAAAGCTATAACTTTTGGAAGACATGGTGCATGACATATGTTATCATGCATATATACATGATGATATTTTCATCGAAGAGGTGACACAAAGCATAAGCTGATAAGCAAATTGAACAATGTCATCAGCAATGTAAAATTTATTCTTAAGTGAAAACCGTAAGGGCAAGTGCCTTTTAGTGCATTGACAACCGTTAATACGCCTATGAATTATCTGCAAAGGTCCGAGACGATATGGGAATTAAAACTGTGAGATTCATGCCTTCGACCTTCAGCCAACTATCGTGAAGAAGATAAAACAAATCACGGAGCTCCCGCGAACATCTCCAGCGAGCGCAAAATCTTAATTAACAAGTAGGTTAAATAATGAAAGCTATTGATGTTAATAAGGTGGCCTTTTTAGTCAATACATTTGCCTAAACAGTTATCGTTTTCATCTACCTATTAATCTAAGTTGGGGCATGTAACGTAACCTTCCCTCTCAAATATCGAAGTTAAACTTATTTTCCAAGGACTGATAAAATTTCACCCTTAAAACAACTCAAGGCTTCCTGAAGAAGTGGGCTACGCCTCACGTTTCTTTTCACTGATTAACAAACCAACTGCGCAGACGTACGCTTCTTAAGGGCTTACGTTGAAAGCTTCTGAGTAAGTAGTCCAGGCTTGATAGGTCGCTCTGTTAGCCTGATGTTTGAATATTTTGTTATTCTTTCAAATGTTGTGATATAGACCAAAGGCTTAGGCATGCTCTTTGGAGTTTTGCAAAATAGTTAGTAACTGGCTCGATGAAAAACACTGTGCTTGTCGCTTGCATTGATTTCGGAATGACCTTTCATAGTTTTCCTCGCCAGCGCCTTTCGCACAATCTGAGGATGGCAGGTATCAAAAAAACTTCCTAAATGGGTCGAAAATGTTTCCTTCAGCCATTTTGAAGCTATCTATTCAGAACAACAGCAATCAAGGCGAACAGTCATAGAGAGTGGAGTGAAACCAGGTTCAGTGCTGGGGCCGGCACTACGAATCTGCTAACTTCGCGGACGATACAAAACATTGGAAAGTCATCCAAAGTGCTGCCAGCCAGGCGAACTTCCAAGGAAATCTCTGTCGGTTGGAAGAGCGTTCTCATAGTTGGCTTCTGTTGTTCAACTGGAGCAAATGCAATTTGCTACGTCTGGGAAGTTGAAGTAAGTTCCTTGATAGGCGCATCTACCACGTAAACGGGATACCAATCCGAAAAGTCGAAACGCAGAGCTATCTCGGCGTTTGAAGGACGAAAACTCTAAGGCCGTATACATCCTACTGTAAAGTGACTAATGCTGCGGTTCAAATTCTGTACGCCATTATGCGAGCATTCACAGTCTTCAATGAAAACTCTTCCTTCAAATTCTTTGGTAATTTTATAAGGTCGCGTCTTAGGTAAGTGGCTAAAGCCGGGAGCCCCTGGATCCAACGGGTTTATAACTTACCCTAGGAAACTTACCCAAGGAGACAGAAAAGACCATACCAGCAGAATACCGGGTACCAGAATCCCCTGGACGAACAGCTCAGATGCTTCAGAAACAAATGAATAATCATCGACAGTCAGGACCACGAACTATTATCGATGAATCAGGACACGTTATAACAAATGACAACCAAATAGCAAATGCATTCAACAAATACTTCTCAACTAACTACACAGTCGGGGAGGCAGTGACCCCCCAACTGACCGAGATGAGAGAACGCCTTCTTAACGAGATCTGTTTTACTGAAGAAACTGGTAAAGTAGTCATCAAACAACTATTCAACGCCAAATCCTATGGGACGGAAAAAACCCCGCCATGTATCCTAAAGCATATGACATTTTCTCCAATACTCATGTCTAATTTATTCACCCTACTCCAGTCAACTTCAATTTTTCCGGACATGTGCAAATACTCGATAATTGCACTTATGTTTAAAAACGCCAACCGATCTTATACACAAAACTATCGTGGTGTTCACCGAACACCGGCTATAGCTAGAATCCTCGATAAAATAGTCTACAACCGATTACTAGACCATCTCATAAACGCCAACATTATTCCCCCTCTCAACATGCATTTTTACCTAAAAACTCATGTCAGTCCTGCCGACCTACTTTTCTGGAATTAATTTCCAGCAATACAGTTGATGGAAACAGAGTAACTTCAATGTACTTCGATCTAAAAAAGGCCTTTGACGAAGTCCCCCATAAACGACTACTAATAATGATAACAAGTCATGGAATTAGGCCTCCTCTTCTCCATTTTCTTAAGTCCTAACTTCAAAACCGATATCAAGTGGTGCGAATTCGAAACGTATTCTCGGAAATATTCCCATTATCAGTGGAACACTTCAAGGCACTAACCTCAACCCCCTTCAATTTCTTATTTTTATTCACGACTTTTCGTCCATATCTGTCTCAGCTTAGACTTGCATATGCATATAACGGGAATGCAGTAGCCAATATTCACAGGACAATGGAACCTGATCTCAGAAAACTCGGCGAATTGAGTAGTCAATGGCAGATGCCCTTCTCGTCCAAAAAATGTCATCTCCTGATCTCTGGCCCACAAAAACTCTCCCCATAATATTCAAGGATAATAAAATAACAGAGACCAAATCGGTAAAAGCTTAAGGTCATAGCTATACAGATACCCTTGATTTATCTCCCCCCGTCCAACAAATATCACCGAAAGCCACTCGCCTGTGTGGATTCACATTTAAATATGTCACCTTACATTCACCAAGAATACAACTTTTCAAAATGTACGTATTAACTCTCCTAGATTATTGTTCAATTTTCTTCGGCATAGTGCCATCAGATGGCCGAAAGAAAGTAGAAGACAGTTAAAGACGTTTTGCTAGATCTCTGCCCGGAAGTGATGGCGCCCAGGGTTCATAGTTAGAACTATATCATAAATACGGTCTTCGACCCCTCTGGATCAGAAGACTCAAAAATGGTGTAAACTTCCTATTCAAGGTCACCCGTGACCAAGATATTCTCAAAACGAATTTACTAGCAAACCAAAACGCCCCCCGAAACACCACAAATAACGCAGATATTATGAGGATCCCCAAATTTACAAAGTCCTATCGGTCAAATTTATAGTCCATAAGATATGCGGATAGCTGGAATGCTCTTCCAAGTTCTATCCGGTACAGTCGAACCATAATCGAGTTTAGAATAAAAACTAAGAAATTCCTGTCAAATAAGAATACACATTTATTTTTGAATCAGATAGCACATTTCTCAAGTCAACTGTTTCATATGTAATCTGGTCCACAAGGGCTTTGATGATGCCGGTCGCTTGAATAATACCGAAACACAGCGCCAAAACAAGCAAATTTATGAAAGACAGCATCAGTGATAAGCATAGAACAGATAGTGATATTCTTCCTTTCCCCTCTTTCTTGTCTCCATCAGCTAAGTCACAGAACAATAGATATCCCTTAAGAAGCTAATAATAACAGCCCTTTCGATAAAACCACGCATATTATTTGTCTTTAAGTCTATATTAAGGCCATAGAAAATATATGTACAGCTATATTAGATCGTAGTGAACAGTCGACCACTACTCCTATAATGTCACATTCTGAAGAACAATATGATAAATAATTCAATATTATTTTGACAGCTTTGATTTTGATCTACCATTGAATGTTCTTACACCTGAGTTTGTTTTAGGTTTTATTTCCTGAGTTCAAAGGGTACTGACAGTGACCAAGTGCGCTATAATAAACCTATTATATTCTAGTAAAGAATAGAAATGTTGCATAAAAGGATGGGCAAGAGCGTGCATTGTCCCCTAGTCTGCACCTCAAAAATGTAGCTTAGTTAATATTCATCAAGACTCGTCATTTATGTCGATTAGAGCAAAATGATAGAAGAAGTATCCCACACGCCACTCTTAGTGCAGGCCAAAGCTTCGGGAATTTGAAGTCCCCTTTCTATTAGCACATGAACTCAGACCAACCGCGAGCCAAAATAGGATGTGCGGTGTCATGACCTAGCCCAAAGTACACTCGCATTTTATGTGTTGCGAAAATGGTTGGTTATACCGCAAGTTCTTGCGGTACAGGAAAAGCGGTTAGTTCGCCTGCGTAAATTGTAACGGAGCAGCAATTCGACAATTAGCCCGCCTGCTTTTTGTTTTGGGAGGCCTGGGCGTGTAAGTCCAAAAACGGCGAGACTAACGTCTGGGACTTCAGGTGGTGACTAAGTCCATTTCTGTCATCGAAAAAATGACGGGAAGTGTATCGGTCGTAGTCCCTCCTGCAACTAGACCTTAACTTGGAGGTTGCCAAAACCATCTTTATTTCGAGAAGCTCGGTATTATTGGTAATTTGTGGCATTAGGATTATTGCTATTATTTTGAATTAATTTTTCATTCTCATACACCCGCGTACGGAAGTTTGCCCAAATCTGTCCCGTAGGTACAGATTTAGTGCGTAAGCCATTGGTTCTTATCAGAAGCAGGCGTTTTAGGTCCAGGCATCATAAACGTCATGGAACACAGCGTGTTCTTCAACTTTCCTCCGACACATCCATTACTTATGTCCTCTTGATTACACTAACGATCTCAAACGGGTATATTCATTCAATAAATCTACGGCTCTTCATTGCGTGCAGCAAATCCATGCTAACTTACTTGTTCTCTCGGCGTGGGGCTAAAAATGGCTAATGGAATTCCCTCCGTCTAAATGTCGTTTATGCGTTTCGGACCTATATGCTATCCCAACCAGTGGTCTTTAAAGGCACACCTACGACTGAATGTACCACCACCAAAGATTAAGGTTTAAGCTAATAACAATCTTAATCTCTCGCGACACGCTGACAGAATTACGGCCAAAGCTGCACAGATTTATGGCTTTATTTCCTAAAATTTATATCTTCCTGGAATTAAATTAAGACTTTATCGTATGTTTGTACTTCCCATTCTCTAGTGTTTTT